TTCTTTCTTTCTTTCTTTCTTTCTTTCTTTCTTTCTTTCTTTCTTTCTTTCTTTCCCTTTCTCCCTCCTTTCTCTTTCCTAATAACAACAACATCAACAACAACACAACAACACAACAACAACATCATCATCAACAACAACAACAACAATACTACTACTAATAATAATAATCTTTAGTGAGATTCACAGCCTTTGGGGCTGGTTGGTAGCTCAACAGCTTGAGTCCTAACCAGGAACTGTTCAGGTAGTGTCGGAGGATATAAGCTGTTCCAAGTAGAGTGGGTTTTTTTGTAGAATCAGGGTATTCAAGTCTGATAAATTCAGAATTTCCAAATAGCAAGGCAGCCCTTTAGGTTTTGCTCCAAGGGCTTCAGTTACAATTGGGATAACACACGATTTATTTTTCCAAAGTTGCTCAACTTCAGTTTGTAAGTCCCAGTACTTTGTGATTTTTTCTTGCTGCGCGTCTTCAATTTGTGCATCACCAGGCATTGCACTGTCAATGAACCAAACCTTTTTCTTTTCAACTATTGTTATGTCAAGTGGCTTGTGGGCCAAGTGCCTTGTCCGCCTGAATTCTCAAGTCCCACAAGATCTTGGCTTTTTCATTCTCCAGAACCTTCTCAGTTTGATGTTCCCAGGAGTTGTTATTATACTCCAGCTTAAACTTTTGGCACGGTTTCCAGTGAATGATTTTAGCAACTCAGTTATTATTGTTATTATTATTTTCACAACAACAGCAGTGGGAGGGAGAGGGAAAAGTAAGGGGAAAAATAATAAAAGGTTTGCAAAAATGTGGGGCTGTTTTTCATGTGTAAACAAAAAGCATCCATACAGGGAACAAACCCAGAATATAAAATTAAAAACTGAAGGAGTCAGAAAGAAAACAAAAAATGTTGCACACACCTTTTTGAGGGACGCAACTGTTCTCCCCTGGAGCCAGATGAGCTGCTCAGCACGTGCCTGATGTGCTTTGTTAGATAAAAGCAGGCTGTGCACACCCATGTTGTGACTGGCGTTATTTATTCGTTCAGCGCCATGCGCCTTCGAGGCCGTGCAGCACTAAAAGTAGATTTGCATGCCATAAAGCAGATCCCATGCAATAAAAACAGGTATCCTGGCATCTCTTAATTGCAAAGTGAATAATCAGGTCTTTAAGCAGGGATCAAAACTTTTGCAAAGTTGGTGCGGGATTCGTTTGGCAGGCAAAATGCTAAAAATCGATATCTATTGTCGAAGTTTGCCTAAAAAGCCTGCTTTTCTCTTAAGAGCTCTTCTGAGGCTGGCTTCTTTCTTTCCTTCACTTTTTCTTTCCTTTCGTTTTTGGAAAAGTCTCCAGAGGATTCTCCAGATAAGGCTGGCGAGAGGATTTTGCCTTCTTCCAAGCCAGCGGGAGCAAACCGGAGGCCTTTGGGGTCTTCTCCAGCCCTCAGACACCTCCAGGGGAGTTTGGGGGCATCTTCTGCCACGGAGCCACCAGGCCAACAACTGGGATGCAGGGAGGAGTTGTGAACGTGGATTTTTTCCCGGAGAAGCGGGGATGCCACAGGTGGTCCGGCGAGCTGAGGATGCCAGTAAATGCTGCTTGCAACTTTTGCACGGTGACTGTAGAGAAACGGACCAGGTGAGGGGAGTGAACTTCTTAGAAGGACAGAAAGTCCTTGTTTAGCAACCACCATTGGACCGACAGTTGTTAAGTGAAACGGTCACTAAATGAATAAATCGCCTGACTGGAGTGGTGCTTTCCTTTTCCTCACTCCTGTGCCCTTGGGAGTGCTGGGATAACTAGCAAGAAGGAAACGAACGTTTGGGTTTACATTCATTGGAGAGAAAGGGACTGTAAGAGAGTAAGCAGGCACCAAATGTGGAATAGTCATAGAAAGGAATGTGCTTTTGGGGGATTCTGAAAGGCTCCTAAAAGTGGCTTTGGTGCCAGGCCTGGGCTTAATATGCTTTTCTGGATGAGAAGGGCTGCCACGCAGTGTTTGAATACCTGCTTTCAAGTCCAGGCTGTCTGATTTTATTTATGCTTTTAATTATTTTATCTTGGATTGGATTGTGTAAAGCCGTCCAGAATGGTTGGAGTGCGTGGCTGTAATAAATGCGGTGCACGAAATGAATTGTGCTAGAAACAGTGGCAAGGCTTTCTAAGTTTATGCCTGCGCATCCATCAGCCGATTTTCATACTGAGCTGACAGAGCGTGGATGAAATTACCTTGAGAAGAGTATACGGAGGAGAGAGAGAGAGAGAGAGAGAGAGAGAGGGATGGATGGTAGATAGATAAGATGGATGATCAATAGATAGATGAGAGAGAGAGAGAGGGGGTGTGTGGCTAGGTGATAGATAAAAACAAATAGATGATAGATGGATAGATAGATGGATGATAGATGGATAGATAGATAGATGGATGGATAGATATAGACAAGAGTGGATAGATAGAGAGGCACATACAGAGAGATAAATAGATGATGGCTAGATGCTAGATAATAGACTGATGATAGATAGATGAGATCGATAGATATGGATAGATAGATGATAGATAGATAGATAGATAGATAGATAGATAGATAGATAGATAGATAGATAGATAATAGATAATAGATAGATATGGATAGATAGATGATGGCTAGATGATAGCTAGATAATAACAGATGATAGATGAGATCAATAGATTAGATAGATAGATGATAGATAGATAGATAGATAGATAGATAGATAGATAGATAGATAGATAGATGATGGCTAGATGATAGCTAGATAATAACAGATGATAGATAGATGAGATCAATAGATTAGATAGATAGATGATAGATAGATAGATAGATAGATGATAGATAGATGATAGATAGATAGATAGATAGATAGATAGATAGATAGATGATGGATAGATAGATAGATGATAGATAGATAGATAGATAGATAGATAGATAGATATGGGTAGATAGAATGTTTGGATGGATGTTTGGATAATCAGATGGACGGATGGAGGGTAGCTGGAGGAGATGGACTGACAGGTCGACGCACCTCGTCTCTCTGAATGCCTTCCCTTTCCTGATCCCTCTTCTCTTTGGGGAGGGCACCTTTTAAGAGCCCCCCCCCCCCGTCTGTTGCTGGACGGATGTTCCTGACACAGGTGCCTCTGCTTTCCCAGAGAGAGGGAATTTTCCTGTCCCGTTTCATTCAGGAGGAAAGAAAGAATCGGGGCTGGGTGGAGGTGGGGGCATCCATCTCGGTCTTTCATGCCCTGCCTTTCCCTCAGGGAGGAGGAGGCCTGGGCCCTACAGAAGAGCCTTCAGGACGGCGTCTTCCGCTTCCAGGACTGGCTCCAGGCGGCTGAGACGGTGGCCGCCTCCCCCAGGTCCTCCCAGGTCTCCTACGCCGGCTCCAAAAAAGAGCTGCAAAGGTTCCGGGTAAGCAGAATTCTGCTCCTTCTTCCGGATTTTATGTTATTTATTAGATTTTGTTTAAGAAGAGTGGTGCGGTGGCCTAAAAGACAGAGCTCTTGCATCACAATCAGGAGGCTGTGAGTTCGATCCTAGGTAGAGGCAGATATATTTCGCTCTCAGGGCACAATGAGAATATATATGCTGAGAAAAACTCCGCCCTGGCAACAGGAAGGGCATCTGGCCAGTAAAAAAAAATCAACTACATTCAATTGCCCCGCAAGGGATTATGGGGTTGTTAAATGATGATGATGATTACATTTGTTTAATAAACACCCTGGCTGCTGTATTTTTTTTGGGGGGGGGGTCATTTGTTTTGGCCTTTTCAGTCTTTCAGTTTAGGAAAACCCAAAATACATTAAAAAATATTTTTAAAAGAAAAATGTATTTCTAAAACGATTCTTAAAATTAACTGTGCACTAAGTACATTTTTAAAATTAAAAATAGTTTAAGGAAGGAATCCTACGAAATCTTTGTGCTTCTTCCCCGTTTTCCCTGGTAGCTCTCCGGATCTGTGGAGATCCCCGAGATAAACGCAGCTCTTTCGATGGGCAAAATAAAAATAAAAATCACATCACAAGGAGCCAAAAGTCACAGGAAACAAATGTGGCATTGAGAGGCCTGGGTACACCTTCGTGGGACAAGCAGGGGGTGAACAGAGGCAGCTTTGTGCTCTGAATGTGTCTGGCGAGGCGTGAAATCTGAATCGAAAGGCAAGAAAGAGGCGGCAAACCCAAGGGCCCTAGAGATAGAAATAGGAGACCAAGGTTGGAAGGGACCTTGGAGGTCTTCTAGTCCAGCCCCTGCTCAGGCAGGAGACCTGGACAAGTAGTGTCCAATCTGGGAACTTTGAAGACAGGGACTTCAACTCCCAGAATTCCCCAGGCAGCAAAGCTGGCTGGGGAATTCTGGGAATTAAAGTCCACAGATCTCAGAAACAGACAAGGTTGAAGAATAATACCACGCTAACTTTGTATATTTAGACTTTTGTAATATTGCTGTCATGCCCCTGTTGGAATCTGATTCGGAGGGGGAGGCTGAGCAGCTGACAGGTAGCGGGAGTGTGGCTCCATTGGCTGTGGAGGAAACTGGGGAAGGGCAAAGCCCGGCAGAGCAGAAGAGACGGAGAATAGGGGAGAGGAAGTTCGGAGGAAGAGCCAGGCCCACCCCCTCTTCATCCTAGGGGACGCAGGGAGGAACGGAGAAGGGAGCAACGTGGGTCGCGTGGCTTACGGGGGAGGAAAGGGCCCTGATTCCCTTCATTAGCTGCAGCTGGGAACACAGGGTTTAAAAAGGGAAGTTGCACGCAGTTGGGAGGAAATCGTGAATTTATCTGGTATCGTCAAGGCTTATCTGGGTTCCTGGCATCTTCCCAACTGTGTGTGTTTTGCAGGCCTTTCAAGTCTGCAATTCCTTCTCCTGCCCTGTCAAGTTAATTCTGCAGCCTGGTTTGTTTGGATTTTTATGTACAGTTTGTATTTACTTTGTTTTCGGACTGAATTTTCTCCACTTAAAGGCTGTTCCTGGGAGAGTTTTTTCTCCAGCCGAAAGTAACCTGGACATTTGGGGCCAAGTTGGAGATAATAAAGGGACTCTTCTTACTTATTGGGCTGTGTTGCCTTTGTGCCACACCCCTTTTGGGTCATCACAATTGCATTTATATTATTTTTTTCTTTTAATATTGAAAGCTGCTCAGAGTTGGCAGCTGGTAAGATGCTGGCTGGGGAATTCTGGGAGATGATGTCCACAGGTCTTAAAGTTTCCAAGGCTGGATACCGCCTGATTGGACACTCTGCACTATAAGCCAGTCCTTGACTTACAAGAGTTCATTTAATGACCATTCAATGTTACAACGGCACTGAAAAAAGTGACCATTTTTCACGCTCACTTTGTAGCAGCCCCTTGATTGTATGATCAAAAATTCAGGTGCTTGGCAGATGACTCATACTTGCGACTGTTACTTATGACTCGTACTTACGACCGCCAGGTTCCCAAGGTCATATGACCCCCTTTTGTGGCCTTCGACAAGCAAAGTTGATAGGGAAGCCAGATCTACTGAAGAACTGGGTGACTAAACTTATCAAATGCAGTGATTTACTTAACAACTGGGGCGAGAAAAGTTGTAAAAACAGCAACAAAACTCGCCTAACCAATACTTCACTTAACAACACAAATTTTGGGCTGGATGGCAGGTCGTAAGTTGAATGCCTGTACCATTCCAGACACATTGCTGTCCAATCTCTTCTTGAATACCTTCCAGGGATGGAGAGCCCAATATTTCTGGTGGGAAGCTGTTCCGCAGGTTAATTATTCGCATTGTCATACATTAAGTAAATAGATTAAAAACAATGTTTTTGAAAAAGCAAACCTAATAGGTTGGTGGAGGAACGATGTAGAAGGGATGTGGAACCGGGCTGGGATTTAAATTTTGTAACAACCGGTTCGGTGGGCGTGGCTTGGTGGGCGTGGCCATGTGACTGGGTGGGCATAGATTCTTTGAGGGAGGCCAGCGCCCTCATAACAACCAGTTCTATAGAACCGGTGTGAACCGGTAGAATCCCAGCCCGCTGATGCGAACTAGAAAGTTTGCACTAAATTCCCGGGGTCCAACCAGCTATATTTGGGCAAACTCTTCCACGCGGCTGATCTGGGATTTTATTTTTTTCCTCCCTGGCCCAGGCATTGCAGAAGGACATCTCGGAGAAGGTATGGCCTTTGGAGTCCTTGAACAGGCAGTACTGCCAGCTGGTGCGGACGGGGAGCATGGGTCCACGCCTGAAGTCCTCCGTGCAGGAGGTCAACCGGCGCTGGGAGGAATTGCGAAGTCGAGCGGCTGCTGTTTCCAGGAGGCTTCAGGTGAGCCTGGCTTGGAAGAGGTGGAGGATTCTCCCTGGTGCCAAGGGTTGGTCCCTGCCAGCTCTGGATTGGGGGTCATGTTTGGGTGGCCTTTAGGGGTAGTGCTGCCCACCAAACCTTGGAGGTCTCTGTGGGGTCCTTGGTGTTCTTTGAACTGGGTTGTTTTTTTTTGCAGACCTTTCACGACCCAACTGGGGAACATCATCAGGGCTAGAAGAGAATGGGGGCTGCTCCTTGCTTATATACATTTCCTTCTAGCACTGATGGTGTTACCTAGTTGGATAATGAAATGTCTGCAAGAAACAACTTAACTAAGAAAACACCAGGGATCCCACAGTCGTTCTCCTCCTCCTCCTCCTCTCCACAAACTACTCCTCCTCCTCTTCTTCTTCTTCTTCCTCTTCCTCTTCCTCTTCCTCTTCCTCTTCCTCTTCTTCTTCTTCTTCTTCTCCTCCTCCTCCTCCTCCTCCTCCTCCTCCTCCTCCTCCCTCTTCCTCTTCCTCTTCTTCCTCCCCCTCCTCCCTCCCTCCCTCCCTCCCTCGTTGGGTCACGAAACGTCTGCAAGCAAACCACCAAGCTCAGAGAGCACCCAGGACCCTTCATGTTCAACCCTGAGCTTTTCTTCCTTGAAGCCCCTCTTAGCTGGAAGGGGGAGGAGGAGCAGCGCGTTTTCATGTGCTCTGGGTTCCCCCTCAGCATTTTGTCAATCAATGGGAGGAATTTGGGCTGAAGAAGGAGACCATCCAGGTGCGGCTGATGGAACTGGACCTGCGGCTGACCGAAGTGGAGCACTTCTCCGGAGGGACATCGCTGGATAAAATGATACAGTTGCAGGTAAAGTGGATTCTGTGTCCGTCGGAACGATAACCAGGTGCTTCTCTGCTCACCTTTGCTGGTTCCTGGGTTGTTGTTTTTTTTCCCCTAAAGGTTCATCCAATTTTTCTAGGATCTGGAATCCTCAGCTGGAATTTAGCATCCTTCAGAACAGGGGCCTCCCACCGTGACAACTTTAAGGGAGTTCTGGGAGCCTTAAAGTTATTTATTCATTTGTTTGTTTATTCAAGCATGCATTTGATAATATACAGTATGTAAGTATAAACATGATTAATTCCCTCAACACCGTCCAACTATTTACGAAGTCTGCACTACTATTACTATTAATCTTCTCATCACTCCTTATCACCCACCCCCTCCCACTTGTGACGGTCTGACTGTAACTTTGTCGCTTGTATCCTTATGATTTATATGGTCTGTTTCCTGGTATGATTTGATTGCTTATTATACGCTATGACTATTATTAAGTGTTGTACCTGATGATTCTTGAGTCTTGATGAATGTACCCTTTCTCTTATGTACACTGAGAGCATTTACACCAAAGACAAATTCCGGGTGTGTCCAATCACACTTGGCCAATCAAGAATTCCATTCTATTCTTATTCTTATTCTTATTCTTATTCTTATTCTATTCTTATTCTATTCTATTCTATTCTATTCTTATTCTATTCTTATTCTATTCTAAATGATTATGAATACATGAAATAAATACGAATAAAAAGGAACATTAGGACAGGGATGGTAGGCACAGCCCCTTACAGACCTCTTAGGAATAGGGGTGAGGTCAACAGTAGACAGTTTAAGGTTAAAGTTTTGGAAGGTTTGGAGAAGAAACCGCAGGTTGAGGTAGAGGATTCCAGGCATTGACCGCTCTGTTGCTGGACTCCTATTTCCTGCAATCCAGTTTGGTGCAGTTGACCTTGAGTTTGTATCTATTGTGTGCTCGTGGGTCATTGAGATTGAAGCTGAAGTAGGATTAGGAACTTGGCACTGAACAAGGAGGAAAGTGGCTTCTCCCATCGGCGGGTTCCCAAACTCCAGGTGGGATTGGCGGTTTGGACCCAGCAGAGGGGCTGGATGAGGTGAAGATGTTCCATGCAGAACGCTGACCGGGGTCCCCCTGCCCTTGTTTGGTCCTCCTCCTTGATGTCCAGGCGTTCCAGCAAGACGTCCAGACCAACACGGAACACGTAGATCACCTCGTGGTCTGCGCCGAGAACCTGATCCAGAAGAGCCAGCCGGAGGATGCTGAGATCTTGGAGGAAGACCTGAAGGAGCTGATTGGGTTCCACCAAGAGGTCCTGTCAAGGGTGTTCCAGTTCCAGCGGCGCCTGGTCAGCATGAGGCTGGTACGTTAGACATCTTCACGTGAAGGGTTAATCTTCCTGTTCTTCTCCTCCTCCTTTCTTCTTTCTTCCTTCTTCTTTTCCTTCTTCTCCCTTCTTTTCCTTTCTCCTTCTCCTCCTTCTCCTTCCTTCTCCTTCCTTCCTTTTTCTTTTCTTTCTTCTTCTTCTGGTCCTCCTCCTTCCTCCTTCCTTTTCTTTCTTTCCTCCTCCTCCTCCTCCTCCTTCCTTCTTCTTTTCTTTCTTCCTTTCTTTCTTTCCTCCTCCTCTTGCTCCACCTCCTCTTCCTCCTTTCTTCTTTCTTCTTTTCTTCTTTATCTTCTTCTCCTCCTCCTCCTCCCCTTCTTTCTTTCCTCCTCCTCCTTCCTCCTTTTCTTTCTTTCCTCCTCCTCCCTCTTCCTTCTTTTCTTTCTTCTTTTTTCTTCTTCTTTTCCTTCCTTCTCCTCCTTTCTTCTTTCTTCTTTCTCTTCTTCCCCCTCCTCCCTTCTTCCTTCTTTCCGTCCTTTTTCTTCTCTTCCACTGATACCACTTCAGCCATCGAGGGAAGTCTTACCATCACTTTACAATGCCTTGGTAAGACCACACTGGGAATCTTGTGTCTAGTTCGGGTCTCTGCGAGGGAGTTGAACCGGAGAGCATTCCCCACATGCCCAGAGGGCTGCTTTGGGCCACAGAGGATGAGGACGCTGTCTGCGCATGTCCATCCTGTCTCCAGGTCTTCGAGAACGAGTGGGAGTCGGACCGAGACAGCGACGTGGCATCGGACTGCTTCACGGAAGGATCGCTGGCGTTTCACACGGGGGACCCTGAGCCCGCTGCCCTGGTCCCCGAGGCTCTTTGGGGCCACTCTACCCCAAAACCAGCCCGGTGTTCCAGAGCTCCCATCGGGGACTCCTCGGCTGCAGATCTGGAGTGGGACCCCTCGGTGGACGTGGGGGGGTCCACCTCGCAGGACGAAGACTCGTCGTATTACAGTGCCGTCGTGGGTAGGTGGGGGCCGTGAGGAGCCGGGTATACCTGTTCTTTTCAGGTGGGCCACGATTACAGCGTTAATCATTGTTCAAAGCAGAGGGGGTCTTCAGCCGGTTCGGACCAGTTCTAGAGAACCGGTAGCGGAAATTGGGAGTAGTTCGGAGAACCGGCCAATCCCCCGCCAACCCCATCTCTTCTCTGCCTCCCATCGAGTCCCAGCTGATCGGTTGGGTCTCCTTTGGTTGCCCTGCACAGGAGAACGGAGCTGGAAAGCAGGTTAGTGGGGTGGGGAGGGAATGGGATTTTGCAGTATATCCTTCCCCTGCCACCCCCACCAAGCCACGCCCACAGGACCGGTAGTAAAAAAAAATTAAATCCCACCAGTGGAAACTCAAAGTTACAACGGCACTAAAAAAAGTGATCATTTTCACACTTATGATCATCGCAGCATCCTTGAACATCACCGATTCAGAGGCTTGGCAACTGGCATGGACTTATGACGGTTGCCATGTCCCGATGATCCTGTTTTTGCCACCTTCTGACAAGTAAAGCCGATGGGGAAGCTAGATTCTCTTCACCACCGTGTTATAGGTAGTCCTCGACTTAACGGCCACCCACGAGCCCCAGATTTCTGTTGTTAAGGGAGTTTGGCGCCCATTTCACCGCCTTTCTTCCCACCGTCGTTACGTTAATCACTGCCGTTGTTCAATCTGGTTTCCCCTGTTGACTTTGCTGGCGAGCAGGTCGCAAAATGGGATCGCATGACCGCCGGGACACTTGCAACCGTCATAAATGTGAGTCAGTGGCCAAGCATCTGATCATTTGAAGCTGCAAAGGTCATAATGGTGGAAAAACATAAGTCACCTTTTTCAGCGCCTTTGTCACATTGAACGGCCACTGTTGCGCGTCAAGGTCTACCTGTGCTAACTTAACAACGGCAGCGATTCACTTCACAGAGAGGTCATAAAATGAGGCAAAATCCACTTAACAACGGTCTTGCTTAGCAATAAGGGCTCAGTGGCAGTCGTAAGCCCAAATCTGTCTGTCCTTTTATTTTGATATGAAATTAGAATAAGTGTGAAGACCCAAAGCGTGACACAAAAATAACACAGTCCCAAAAGTAAAATAAATTCCCTTTAATGCCTCCAACTTGGCCCCCAATGTCCAGTTATCCTCGGCGGGAGATCAAACTCTTCCAAAAACAGTCTACAAAGGGAAGAAATGCAGTCCGAACCCAAACTACAACTATATTAGAAATAAAAAACCCAACACAAACCACGCTGAAGTAATTACATGACAGGCCAGGATGATAAATTGCAGACTTCCAAAAGATAACGATGCACCCACAGTTGGGAGGACGCCAAAAGTGCACGTTTTGCTTCCAGCAAGGTGCTGTGTGCAAATGCCCCTCTTATATCCTGTTCTCCCAGCTGCAACTAATGAAAGGGATCAGAGCCTTTTCCTCTCCCGTAAGCCATGTTGCTCCCTTTTCCGTTTCTCCTTGTGCGCCCTAGGACGAAGAGGGGGTGGGCCTGGGTCTTCCTCTGAAGGCCCAGCCGGACTGTGCCCTTCCCCTGTTTCTTCCACAGCCGCCGGAGCCACACTCCCACTCCCTGTCAGCTGCTCGACCTCCCCCTCAGAATCAGACTCCATTAAGGGCATGACAATAAGGCTGGATAATTTCTCCCCGTCACACACAACATTTGAGTGTCTTCACGGCAGAGATCTCTCCAGCCCCCTCCCCAAAGTGCTTAGATTCTGCCCTTCTGCCCATAAATTGGAAGGGGGAAAAAGTGGATTTTTTTCTGTCTCGTAGGCCTCAGCCGGGGGGACCATCTTCGGCGGAGGAGCCGTTCTTGGCGCTGGAGCTGGGGCAGAACAGAAGACTTTTCAGTGAGTATTGGACAGGAGCGGTATTCGACCGGTTTGGCCTGGTTCAGATGAACCGGTAGTGAAAAAACAAACAAACCGGTATTTCCGACGATCAGCTGGGCGACGATCGGCTGTGCCGTGCGATTTAGGTTAGCCAGAAAAAAGGAAATCGTTGGATGTCTTGCTTTGTAGTTCAGTGGTCGCCAACCGGTGGGCCAGGGACCACTGGTGGTCCACGAGAAAATTTTGGTAGTCCGCAGAGAAATGCCCCTCCCAAAGCAATTAATCCAGGCTGTGCGGGAACACAAGGCTGCGCCACCCACCTGCTGGCACCCACCCTTCGGCCGAGTGCAGACCTTACCTTGAGTAGCGCCATGCAAGCTGGAACTGGAAGGTGAGCCCAACAGCAGGGGAGGGAAATCCATCCCCGGGGTGGCTTGCCCTGGCCCGGTGGCAGAAACGAATCAGGGTGACCAGACGTTGCTTTGTGGAAGAGAAACGCTCTAGTTTGGCCAGGACTTGCCTTTCAAAAAGGCAGGTAGACTGCCACTGATGGGGGAGGCTTCCTGGGACAAATAATCTATTTGCAGGTGGTCCACCGACTTGCAACCGTTCATTTAGTGGCTGTTCAAACTTACAACGGGACTTTAAAAAGTGGCAGGACCTTTTTTCACACTTACGACTGTTTGCAGCGTCCCCTCCATGGGGAAGCCAGATTCACTTAATGACCATGTGACTCAGTTAACAGCTGCAGAGATTCACTTAACAACTTGGGGCAAGAAAGGTCGTAAAATGGGGGCCCAAACTCACTTAGCCAATGTTTCGCTCAGCAACAGAGATTGTGGTCGTAAGTTGAGGACAGACTGCCTTTATTATTTATCTGAGAAATAAATGTATAAAGCTGCCCAACTCACATACTCCAGGCAGTTTACAACATCCTTCCCAGCAGGTCCTCTTTCCTGCAGTTGCAACGCAACTCCAATCAATCAATCAATCAATCAATCAATCAACCAATCAATCCAGGCAGTGATTCGCTCATGCTTAGCCACAGAAATGCTGGGTTCAATTGCAGTCGTACGTCGAGGACTGCCTTGCAAACCAGCTGTCCAGCTGTGGAGCTCTTGGAGGATTGTGGTGGTGAGGAAACCTAGGTGCCCCTTTCTAAGCGTGTGCTTGGCGTGTTCGCCGTTGTCATGTCCCTGATGGAGACTGACTCTGAGGGAGAGGAGGAACTGCTGACAGGGAGTAGAAGTGGGGCTCCGGCGGTTGTGGAGGAGGCTGGGGAAGGGCAGAGGCCGGCTGGGCAGTCAGAGGAGGACCCGGCCCACCCCCTCTGCATCTAGGACATGCAGGGAGGAACAGAGAAGGAAACAACTTGGCTTGTGAGAGAGGAAGTGGCCATGATCCTCCTCATTGGTTGCAGCTGGGGAGACCAGTATATAAGAGAGACGGTTACAACACAGTGTTGCTAGAAGCAAAGCGTGTTTTATTTGGGGCTGAAGTTATCTTGGTTGGCGTCCTTCCAACAGACTGTGCCTTGTTATCTCCTTGAAGTTGGTAATTACTTATCCTGGTTCGTTGTGGAAATTTCTTCATTGTAGTTTGTTTTGGTTTTTTATTTCACTCCTATCTGCTCATTAAGTTCGGACTGCATTGCTTTCTTTTGAAGACTATTTTTGAGTAAGTTTTATCTCCAGCTGAGTATTATTGAACAGTGGGGCCAAGTTGGAGGCATTGAAGGACATTTATTTGGATTTTGTTACGTTTGTGTCTGGGTCATCACACCTGTCCTCTGCCTATCTTGCAGGTGCAGAGCAGTTTCCCAGAGGAGGGCCAGCCCTGCAGCTGCCCAGGGTCTCATCCGATGAAAACAGATGTTTTGGGTGAGTTCAGCAATGTTCTTTGCGGTCCCTGCCATTTCCCTTTTTTTTAAAAAAGGGAGCCATGTCAAACATTTAAGTCCCCGCTTTCGGGTTCCTGCAAATGTCGGTGTGTTGTTAGCTGTTGACCGGCTCCCCAAATGATGTACAGCGTGAAGACTCTTTTGAGTAAGCAGCAGGAATTAAAATCCACCTGGAACCTGACCGTTTTTATATGCGGACATTTTAACCGTGACACCACAGGGGTCTTAGTCCTTCAGTCAGTATATTTTATTTTGCTATTTATTACAAAACGGTCTTTAAAGTAGGTCAGTCTTGCAGGAGGGCGGAGGAAGCGCCAAGAAATATATCCACTGCTAAGTTTTCTAATTACATCAGAGATTCTTTTTATAGGTACCTTCCCCAAATTGGCATCCGGTGGGTATCAGTGCCCAGAATCCCTCAGTCGTTAAGCAAAACAATTGCCCAAGAAAACCATGACAGTTTTTCCTTCGCTTTACGGACTCGTGAAGCTCGTACAAGCAAGGACCGGTTGCCACATTATGGGCATCACTCTGAACAGTGGCGGTCGCTAAACACATCCTGTGTTGGTTCCTCTATTTAGAAATCTCCCTTTCCCACATTTTTTTGCCGGCAGGCCTTTTAAAGCTGCTGGTTTATTTATTTATTTGTAGATATTGATTAATTTTTCTATGCTGCCTACAAGATGACTCTGACTTAGAGCCAATTGGACACTCCTGTTTACGCTGGGATCACAGCGTCCATCCTCCACAGCCAACAGTGCGATCCTGCTGTATCTGGAGGTGGAAATTGCTTATAAAGCTTAAACAAGTTTATTTTTCTGATAGTTGCTGAAGATCCTTTGGCTTGCAGGTGGAAAGTTTCATTTTGGGGCCTCTTTCCACTTTGTCGTTCCTTTTGGGTAGGACATCCCACCCCCCAGGAACCAGGAACTGCCCAGCTGCTCACGACGGGGCTCTGCTGCCCACCCCTCGAAGCCACAGGGTTTGATCCCAAACGCATTGAGACCTGGCTGGATCAGAACTGCCAGAACCAAATGGGAATCCCTCCGGAGATCAAAGAGGTATGCTATGTCAGGATTCCGGCAGTTACTCCAATTAAATCACGAGTCTCCGGCCAAACTTCCAAAACTTCAAAAGGATTTATTGGCAGTTCACATGTCTGGCGCTGCCTGGGTGTAGCCGACTCTGAGACACAGCATTCATTGTCACCCTTGACCCCGGTTTCCCCCCCACACCCCCTGGGTGTATCATAATTCATATTCTCCAATGGGACACCTCCATAGCCCAGAGTCATCAATCAGGCTCTCCAGTTAGTATTTTGCGTGGCAGAAACTTCAGTCACCTAAAAACTATCTTTGAAAACATTTATGGAATGCACTTTCGGTTTTCAAGCTGCCGCACTGCTCTTTTAAACCCCTTCCCACCCCCTTTCTGCTGGCAACCCTAAAAGGACCATAAAAAGTGTTTTATGAGTTGACACACCATTCATCTGGTGAGACAGAACTTCCAAGGTTGAGTCACTTAGCGAAATTCAGGGCTCAGTTGTGGCCATAAGTCGAGCACCACCTATGTATATATGAACTTTAAAAAAAAACTACAAAAAGGGATAAATAAATACAGTACATTATTTATGGGCTAAAGTTAGCTTGCTACAGCAACTAAATCTATCTAATAATGCAAATGTCAGCTAACGGATGAAATCCTCGTCAGGGCTGGTTTGAGGTCCATTGAATGAAAGCCAAGAAGTTTTGCACCCACTTGCAAAACCTCAGCTCTGAAGCTTCGAGAGATCCTGGCAGGCGCTGGGAATTATCGGAAAGTTGCGGGGGAGGACATTTTTTTTTTCCTGACAAGGGTCTCATTTTCTGGGGAGAAGCTGGGGGAATCGAATGGACAACCAGGAAGGACAGGAGCAGCAAAGACAAAACACCTGGTATTCCATCATACACGCCCCCCCGATCAGCATTCCAGAAAACTTCCACTCCAACAATAACTTGAGACAGACCATCTTCTCAAAAGTTCTGCTTTATTTTGGGTAATAAACTGGCACATCTGGGGAATCCTGAATCGGAAAGTTCTGGGCTTCCTTGCAATAAGTAAAAACTATACATCCCCCCACTGCACCCCCTCATGGCATCCCATGCTCCAATCGCCATCCGTCCCAACTTGAAACATCCCTTCACCCAGGTGCAGAAATAACATGACCTTGACTTAGAAAAAGAATGCTATTATGTCTAACCACATACGCTCCAAGAAGTTTCCCCCCTCCCATTTTCCCAGGCTCAAGAATGTGGCAGCGTGGAAGCATCTGGTATCAATATGGTGTCCAAAGCTGACACCCCCTGTTATACATCTGAAACAGTCGGGGTGGTTTGCAGTCTGAGATGCTTCCAGCTGACTTTTCACGGGGTTTTATGGTGGGTCCTTTTTTCCTCCTTTCCTCGTTCGGCCAGGTGAGACGGAAAGGTGAGGGCTGAGTGGAATCTCTGGTTTTCGAAACGCTTCGCTTGTGCTACGCTGCCTCTCTTCCTCCATTTTCCAGGACTCCGTAACCCACATGGATAAGCTCCCACCGGCCAAGGAGTTGCAGCTCCCTCTGCAAATTCAGACAAGAGGGCAGAAAATCCACCGATGGTCCAGGAAAAAAGGCAAACAGAACCTCCTCACCGGCCAGTTGTGGTCGGGGAAGGAGCAACGGGTAAGGCCACGTTGATAGCCAAAAGTGGTGGGATCCACATCAGCGACAATTCAGAAATGAAAAAAAGTGAACATGGGCAAGATCTGGCAGGGAGATCACAGAAGCAATTGGCAAGGATCTCCTGAGCATGTCGAAAGTGCCTTCTCCACCCTTGATAGTCAGCTCCCACTAAGGGAGGGGTCCCCAACAATGGCTAACTTTAAGACTGGTGGACTTCAACTCCCAGAATTCTCCAGCACCAGCAGAGCTTACTCTCTTGCAATCCCTTCCTCTGCAATCTCTCCTCATTGGGGGATAGGAGAACAAGAAACAGACACGGCTGGCTGGCTGGGGAATTCTGGGAGCTGAAGTCCACAAGTCTTAAAGTAGCCCAATTTGGGGACCACCGCATAAGGAGACGAACACCTCAAAATTCAGCAGCCCAACCGATTACACCATCTCTTTTTTATTTGTTTGTATCCCGTCTTCATTATTTTTACAAATAATTCAAGATGGTGAACATATCCAGCCCACCTTCCTTCCTTCCTTCTCTTTTCTTTTCTGCACAACCCTGTGAGGTGGGTTGGGCTGAGAGAGAAAGGGGCTAGCCCAAGGTCATCCAGCTGGCTTACGTCCCTAAGGCAGGACTAGAACTCCTGTCTCCCAGTGAATGGCCCAAAGTCACCCAGCCAGTTTTCTGGCCTGAGGAGGAACTAGAACTCCCTGTCACCTGGTGATTGGCACACAGTCACCCCTCCGGTTTTCAGGCCTTGGGTGGGACTTGAACTCACCATCTCCCACTTTCTAGCCCTGGTGCCTTAACCCCTAAAGTTCTCTCCTACCTTAGACCTTTGCTCTGCATTTGCTGGGCTGCAAAAAAAAATCAACAACACAAAAAAATCCAGTGTATTTTGAAAAGAAAAAATTAAAAGCAAATGCTGCTTTTAAAACCTGTTTATTTTTTTAAAAAGTTTGATTTTGTTTTCCTCTTGTGACTCTTTTCCTAGATCTCCAAGACGCTAAATTCCCAGTCAGCAGAAATTATGGTTACTATTGAGAAAGAGTAAGTGGCTTTTTAAAGAAGTTTTTGAGAATAATTGTCTATGGACTCGGCCTTTTTTCAGCCGCTGCGCTGCACAAATTGAAAAAAAAAAGGGATTAGTTTAACAACCAGGCGTTGTGTGAATGCAACTGGGGATGTCTGTCCCTGCATTCTGGTTGCGGAAGTGTATCAATAGCAGGATTCTGTTAAGATTGGATTATTGGTAATCCTTGGCTTTCGACCACAACTGAGCCCAAGATTTCTGCTGCTAAGCAAGACTCAGTTGTTCAGTGACTTTTGTCCCGTTTTACCACCTTTCTGGCCACTGTCATTAACTGAATCATTGTCGTTGCCAAGCTAGTTGCACAGTTGTAGAATAGAATAGAATAACAGAGTTGGAAGGGACCTTGGAGGTCTTCTAGTCCAACCCCCTGCCTAGGCAGTAAACCCTACACCGCTTGTAAAGTGAATCCGGCTTCCCCATTGACTTTGCTGGCCATAAAAGAGAGTCGCTTGAACCCTGGGCCACTGCGACTGTCATAAATATGAGTCAGCTGCCAAGCCCCTGAATTTTGACCATGTGATCGTGGGGATGCTGCAACGGTCATAAGTGTGAAAAACGGCCATAAGTCACTTTTGTCAGTGTCATTGCTGCTTTGAATGGCCACTAAATGAATGGTTGTAAGTCAAGGATACCCATCTGTGTTCAGAGTATCGCAATGTAAATTCAGCACCAGAAAAGTAAACAAAGATGGCTGAGGCTACATTTCGCTTCTTTATAAACACATAAAGTAAATTTTACAATACCAGTTGTAGATTTCTCCAACATGAAGCAAACTCAAACAGAAGCAGACATGTTACCGGTTCAGAGCAGAACAGCAACTCAGCTTCAGCTCAGAAACAGACATCAGTTTCACTTTAGTTCAGCAGACAAGCAAGTTAGTTTCTCTTTCACTTTAGAGCTGAGCACAGAACAGAGATAAACCATACCCAGATTGTCTAAGTTTCAGCCCTCAATTCATGTGATGACCCAAAGGGGCGTGGCACAAAGGCAACACAGTCACATAAGTAAGAAAAGTCCCTTTAATACCTCCAACTTTGCCCCCAATGTCCAGTTACCTTCGGTGGGAGAAAAAACTCTCCCAGGAACTGCCTTTAAGTGGAGGAAATTCAGTTTGAAAACAAAGTACAAACAGACTGTAACTAAAAATCCAAACAAACCACACTGCAGTAATTAACTGGACAGGGCAGGAGAAGGAATTGCAGACTTGAAAGGCCGACAAACACACACAGTTGGGAAGACACCAGGAACCCAGATAAGCCTCGACCATAAAAGATAACTCACAATTTGCTTCCAACAACTTTTCTGTGTGTGCTTCCCTTTTTATGCACTGTGTTCCCAGCTGCAGCTACTGAAGGGAATCAGGTCCCTTTCCTCCCCCGTAAGCCCGTTTTCTCCCTGCATGCCCAAGGATGAAGAGGGGGCGGGCCTGGTTCTTCCCCCAAATTCCCTCTCCCCTGCTCTACCTTTCCCGTTTTGCCCAGCCAGACTTTGCCCTTCCCCAGTTTCTTCCACAGCCGACGGAGGAGCCACACTCCCGCTCCCTGTCAGCTGCTCGGCCTCCCCCTCCGAATCAGATTCCGACAGAGGCATGACAGTTCAGCTCTCATTGGCTGACCTTGTTAAGTAAGCTCTATTCCAGTTCATGAGTATACTGCGACAATCTGAAATCTAAGCTTGAACCCGTCTCCCTCTTCTTCTCCCTTCAGATGTGACCTGCAGCTGCCCAGAGAGATTTCTACCCAGTCTCAGAAGCTGTGCAGAGCCTCTGTCCTCTGGCTGCTCATGACTACGACGTTTGCGGTGCTGGTGTGGTTGCTGTGCCAGTCCTCTTTCCTTCCCCTCTCCCAGCCCCGCTGCCTCCAGACCAACGGCTTTGCCAAATCCTTCCACCTCATGCTAAAATACGAGGGTCCACCCCCCACGTAGAGGATGTGGGAGAACGGGGACACCGCAATCGACCAAGGTCGAGAGTCCTGTAGGGGAAACTGGGCTGCTAGGAGTCGGACCGGCTTCTTCTGGACTTCCAAGAAGTTGGGTTCCTTGTGCCCACATTTGCTCAGATCCAGAAGATCCCCTCCAGCTACCGGAAGATAGCTTGGATTTAGGCCTGGTGAACCACCTTGGTCCCAGTGCAACGATGTGGTGGACTGTTCAGCAAAGTAAGATCATCCATCCGGGCAAAGAGGCAGGACATTCACCTGTGGCCCCGACTGCTCAGGTGGCATCTACTGACCTTTGGAGAAAGCAGCTTGTATGAAGCTCCAGCAAGATCTTCTCTGCGGCACTGAGCAGATTTCTCAAGAGATCTATTTTGGGTGGGTGGGGGTACCGAATCTTGAATCACTTCCAGATTTGGATTATGGGTACTTTTGTACATGGGCTACCTGTTTTGTACCTTTCGCGCCTGCTATTTTCTAATAAAAAAGGGAGAAAGGTGGTTGGTTGCAGCAGGTAGATGATGTGATCCAAGCTTGATCCTCAAAACAAGACCGCCGCCTACCAGAAACCTCCGAGTACCTGAGAGATCCTGAAGACGCAAGGATGGAGTTTGTCAACCATGGCAACTTTAAGACGAGTGGACTTCAACTCCCAGAATCTCCCAGCGATTCTCAGAATTCTGGGAAATGGAGTCCAGGCATCTTTTAGAGTTCATTAGCAGCTGGCAGGAATTCTGGGAGTTGAAGTCCACAGGTCTTAAAGGGGCCCTAGTTCCCCCACTCCTGATTTCATGAATTCCCAGCTAAGACCTCTCAGCAAAAGCTGAACGAGATAAGAGACGCGTACATGGATTAGTGGGATAGTGGTTTATTTTAAAAATAGTACTGCATTAAACACTCATGGCTTTCTCTCTCCAAAGACATATTCACAATTTCAAAATAAATTAATTAGTCATCTTCCCCCTCCTTCACCAGCCCACCCCATTCTTCAGATTGGATCTCCAAGGGAAAGAAAAACGTGATTGGATGCTTCCCAACAGGGTCACCGCAGTGCAGAGAAATTCAGAAATCGGGAAGGGGAAGAAATTGGAAGGCGGTTTTGGGTGGGTGGACAAGACCAGGCAATCTGTGTTTCTTTGGGCCCCCAAATCTCTTGGGAGGCAGGAAGGGACCGAAGCTGGAGACTTAGAAGATGCTTTGGATGAGAGATGAAAAGAAAAAAAAAACTGACACTTTTCCGTCACGCGTTATCCCAGAGGTCTCCAAACTTGGTCAACTTTTAAGACTGGTGGACTTCAACTCCCAGAATTCTCCAGCCAGCATAGCTTACTCTCTTGTGTTCCCTTCCTCTGCAACCTCTCCTCCTTGGGGGATAAGAGAAAAAGAAACAGACATGGCTGGCTGGGGAATTCTGGGAGTTGAAGTCCACACGTCTTAAAGTGGCCAAGTCTGGGGACCCTTGCATTGCCCCCCCAAAAGCAAGGATGAAACAGAAGTTTTCTGCTGTGTCACGTTAGTTACTTGATCAGGTCTCGAGGTCTTCTGCGTGGCACCCATGCCATGTTGAGGGCCAACACAACCGCCCCAAAGGAGTCACAATCCAGCCAGTGAATACTGAGTGCCAACTATCCACGTGGGAATTTTTAATAGGGTGGGGGGGGGGGGGGGGGTTTAACCTTGGCAGCTCTGGCACTAAACCTGCTTTTGGTCCCCGTTCAAGAATGTTTCTGGATCTGAACGCTGCCAAACCCTGGCCCAAACCACACCCTCACAACTGCATAATCCAGGGGTTGTTAGCGTCTTTCTTGCTGGCATCTGCGAATGCAGAAAGGCCCAGGGCCAATTTCTCCCTTGCAAAACGACGCCCCCACCACCCAGAATGGACAAGAGGCATTCTATCCATCTCCCACACCGCCCCCCAGGCATAAACCTCCCTCCCTCCTTCCTTCCTACCATCATGCAGGCAACTATGGACAGAGACCACGGTTTGTTCCTGATCAGCATCCAAGTCTGTTGCAGAGAGCCTTGAGTTTGCAACTCAGCGGGGGATGGGGGCTCTCTTTCTGCCCTGGATTCGCACTCGGACCTGACCCAGCCCTACCCTCAACACGAAGAACCTGCCTTGGGCAGCTCCGGAGGCTGCCGGGAACAAATGCCAGATGTTCACCCAACTGCAGGAAAAAAAAAAGTCTGTGTTTGTAAAACCAGGCTGGCAGAGGAATTCTGCCCTTCTCCGTCCTCCTGTCCATCAGGAGGTGGGTCAGGAGTCCTTGTCCGGCCAAAACTCCAGGATTAGAAACGCAGAAAGTAATAAAATAATTATTTTATAACCATTTACAAATTATATATATATATAT